TCGTGTTCGGATCATAGTGTGTTTCTACCCTCTTAACCTTAACTCCTGCAACCGTGGGTGTAGAAGTATCTGTCTGATCGGTAACCTCTGCGGGGATACCCATATTGAACGCTAGGTTTCCTCTGTCTCTCCCTCGAGCCCGTCCTTTCCTGACCAGTTGGGGCTTCTGACCAGGGTCTCCCCGCTCCCCAAATGTGTTCCCTAAACCCTGTTCCTTGTTGTTTCGATTCAAAGAACTCGGCGCGGGTTGCGCCAGTCCCGCCGCAGCGGCCGCTTCAAAATAAGGTTGTGCTTCAAAATAAGTATTCAGTAACATTCAAGACTGTTCTAACATTATTTCTAAGTTGTCTTTTTGGAAGAAGTCCTGCTTGGTCTTGATGTGTCAATTTGTGTCAATACTTTTTTCAGTCTTGTAGCTAAAATTGAAGCATAGACTTTATAGTCCACATTTAATAGTGAGATTGGTCTATAGTTTTTAGTTTCTCATCTGAGTTTTGCTTGTCTATAAGTGTTATTAAGGTTTCATTCCAAGTTTCTAGTGTTTTACCTTCAGCTCTTATGGTCTGTATTACATATTTTAAAGGTAGTGCCACTTGATCTTCAAATACATGATAGAATTCTGCCGGTAATCCATCAGGGCCTGGTGTTTTCCTTCGTCTTCTTCTTCTTTTTTTTTTTGCTGCTGTAATTTCACACATGGTTACTTGGTCATTTAAGATTTTTCCTTTGCTCTTCAGTAAAAAATTTTTTTGTTATATTTCTGCAAAAAATCTTTAATCTCCTCTTTGGTATAACTTTCTATAAAATATCAATTATTTTTTAAAAATCTTTGGGTAAGTTTTTTTCTTCTCCTTCACTGTCCTTTAAAATCTTTATACTTCTCTTTTCTTTTTCTTTTCATAGTTTATATGCTAACCATCTGGTTGATTTATTAGCATTTTCAAAATAGTTTTGTTTTGCATAAGTAATCTTTTTAGCTATTTCTTCTGTCAATAGGCCGTTCATTTGATGTTTGATGTAGTAATAGCTTTACTTTCACTCTTAGATATTCAGCTGATGGGTCTTGTTTCAAATTTTCTTCCTGTTTCTTAATTTGCTCCTTGATTTGTGAGAACTTTTCTGTTTTCTGTTTTTTTGTGCACGCTGATTCTGATTATCCAACCTCTGGCATAGGCCTTAAATGCATCCCATACAGTTAGAATGGAAATCTCTGGATGGATGTTCTGCTCAAAAAATATTTGAAATTCTTTTTTTGTCTCTGTTTCAATTTTTTGAATATTTCAATAAAAATGTATTAAAAGTCCATCTCTTTTTCTTTGGTGTATCTTGCAATGCTTGTAAGGTCCATATAGTCTCTTCTCTCTCATTCTCCATGGAATTTCCTTTAAAATTTTGATTTCTGTTTCTTCTATTTGTAGAGGTGTTTCATTTGTTGGTTTCAGAATTTCATCTCTTATTGTTCTTTTGTGAAATCTAACATGCACTTCTCTTGGCAGTTTATTTCTCCTTGCATATGCAGAGTTCATTCTATATGCAACATCAGTTTCATTATAGAGTTCTCCTGTATTTTCTGCCTTCATGTATTCTGTCAATATTTGTGCTATTTCAAATTTCAGTTTCTCATCTTGTTTCTCAGGAATATTATGCAATTTTAAAATATATGCTGCTTTATCCAGCTCTAGTTTAATGAGAGCTTCTTCCATGGAATTTTGCTTTTTTCCTACTGTTTCTACTTTGAATTGCATCTTTCCAGATTTGTCTTCTTTTTGGGTAACAGTTTTAGCCAAGGAAGAAATTTCTTGAGAATGTTCTTTAAGCTGTTTTTGTACTTCTGTCATCTGGTGTGTCATTTGCTGTGAAAGTATATCTAGTTGAACTTGAATTGGATTGACAGCTGCTGTTACAGCCTTTTGTATAAGATTTTGCAGTTCCTTTGCTGAAATCTGTGCCAAACTGGCAGCTACCAATTTAGGATGGCCAGGAGATGGGCCAGTGAGAGGTTTACCTTTCTTATCAATTATGTTATTAACTGTATTGTTAAATATATTTTGAATTACTTTAAACCAACACCCTTTACAATGTACACTAGTCATAATATTCAGACCAGAGAATCGCTTAATATACACAAGCCCCCTCCCAGTCAATCCCTTTAAGTTTAAATTCCCTTACTGTATTATAAAGAAGGGGAAAAAATGAAACACCAATACTCTCAGTATAAACACAGAAAGGGTTATCAGCAGTTTACATTACTTTCAGGAACAGTTTGTACTTAGGTGGGAACAACATGTAAAACGGTAACAGTTCCCAATACACACATCCTCTCAGGAAGTGATATTTAGAAAATGAAAGTTAGTTCCAGTCAGTTTATAAGCTTCTCTTTTCTTCTTTCTTCAAAATGTATAAATACTTTATCTTTGATTTGTAATCCAAATGCAAAGTTACAAGAAATTGTAATCCAATTAAATATCTTTTTATAGATCCATAGTATAGTCAAATTATAATTCCAACTGGGGATTTAAAGAAGGGGGTGTGATCCAAATGTTCAGATATCCAAAATTGTAATCCACAGGGTCCCAAAACATCAAATCATGCTTGAGGAAAAAATTAGGTCTATCAAGAGGTTGTTAAATCCAGACATCAACCATTTCTCTTGGCCCTTAAAGGTATTTTATATGTATTAAAGTAGTACTTTTCCAAGCTGCTTCTGAAGTGGGGGGGGGGGATTCCTCCTCCTCTCTCTTTTCCACTTTCTTTTTGAAGGGCTAGAACAGAATAAAGAATCTCCTCTCAGTTCAAGGCTTTAGAAGTATGGTGTTAGGGTTTCTTTTAGAGTTTTGTATGAATTCAGCTGCATTCACCTCTGCATTCACAGCTACGCAGCTATGGAGTCCATAGATGCTCTCCCACAGGTTCAGGCTTCGGGGTGATCTTGGACTCGATCCACTTTCTGCTGCTCATGGAGAGTCCCAGATCAAGCCCCTTGCTTAGCCTCCTCTACAGGGAGGTCCATGCGGGCTCCAAAGGAGTTTAAACCCCCTCCAAATCCGGCGATCCAGACAGCTTCATGGGAGCTCTCCCGGGGCCGTCTGTCCTCGCCGCGACAAAAACCGGAAGCCAAATGCTTAAAAAAATTCTAAAGCAAATTGACAGATTCTTGTACTCCGTTGGTTAGCTGCCATGCTCTTCACATGCTGTTTAACAGAAAGTGACAGGAAAGGCAGACATTTAATCAGTGGCACTTGTAACAGCAAAAGAGACCCAGTAAATGCTTCCTTGGCAGCATTGTGGTTTGATATATTCAGCAAATATTATTTGTGCATCTGTCAGTAACTATAAGGCAGTCTTCAATAATGAGGACAACAGGGGTTTGTGCTGAGTTTATTGCTGCACTTGACACAGAAAAGTCAGCTTTTGGGAAAGGGTCTGGAAATTTGCATTTCTCAAGAATTTTCTCTCCACTGAGGTTATCTCTTAGCTCCAACCATTTTTTGTGTTTGATAAGCAGAGAATATACAATTTAATTATATAATGGTGGAGCAAAAATGACATACAACTTGAATTTTCAAATGGCATTGCATTTTGCTGATAAGAACGTTTATTCAGGACTGAAGAGATTACATGAGGTAGAATTGGAAAGCAGACTGCATTTACTAGAGATAGGAACATGCTAATAGTAGTTAAAACAGGAGGTCCCCTTTCTTGTTCTGAGGAGCACTGGTAGAAACAATTTATTTTGAATACAGCTTGTACAGAAAGTGGAAACAGGGCTATTTGCAACTCCCCTTATTTAATCTTAAGTGTTTTACATGGTAGCACAATTTGTACTTGCAAAACAAATATTGACATTATACTTGACTAGGTCATATTTCTGTTATTCAGGTCCTGGTTTTAAATTTGAAGCCACATATGAGATTTTATGCTGACTTACTGCTGTAAAGGCTAGCCCAGTCTCATCAGATATTGGAAGCTAAGCAGGGTCAGCCCTTGTTAGTATTGCATGGGAGACCACTAAGGAAACCCTAGGTCTCTACATAGAGGCAGGCAATGGCAAACTACCTCTGGATGTCTCTTACCTTAAGAACTCTATGCCTGTGACTTGAGAGCACTTTCTACCATTAACTGCTGTAAAAACAGAACAAAGTTTGAGTCCAGTGGGACCTTTAAGACCAACAAAGTTTTATTCAAAGTAGAACTTTCGTGTGCAAGCACACTTCGTCAGACACAATGAAATGAAATCTCCTCAAGCCCCATTTACAGGAAAGGGGGGGGCAGCTGTTACCCTAGCGTCGTTTTCACATCTCTTTGTTAACCCTTGTGTTTACGTGCTCATTTTCTGCCATTTATTTATCTTACTGGCCACCTGATCCAATTTCAGCCCTACTTATGCATCTTGGCTGTGACTGGCCGTTCCTAACGGCTGCCCCCCACCTTCTTTTCCCTGTAAGTGGGGCTTGTGGAGATTTCATTTCATTGTGTCTGATGAAGTATGTGTGCACACAAAAGCTCATACCTTGAATAAAACTTTGTTAGTCGTAAAGGTGCCACTGGACTCAAATTTTGTTCTGCTCCTCCAGACCCACCTGAATCTTGCTGTATAATCAGTGCTTCTAACTTTCTGCTTGTCTGTAAAGCAACAAGTAGTTTCTGTGTCAGGGTCTTTTTCTAAGCAGAGTGAAACTTGGTCAGGTTCATGAAACCTACTAGTGCAGGGGGAGTCTGCTGAATCCTCTTTCCAGTTGCAGCCACTTACACTATATTCAGTCCTTGGGAGTATCTTTTGGGAACATAAGATCTGTCATACAGAGGAGAAGAGGAAGAGCCAGAGGACCAGAGCTCCATTTGCAGCTGTTTTGATCTAACTTATTTTATCCTAGCACTTTTAGGAACCTTATGGAATATAAAGTCTTGTACCTGTCAGTTGTGACACAACTTGAAAAGGTTATGGAATATTTTAGTTGTTATAAATATTCTTAACTGATTCTTCCCTTTCTGTTTTCTAGATTTTGGACCTGGTGAAGGGTATGCATTACCAGTTGGCCTGTCAGAAATACTTTGAACTGACACACAACGTGAGTGCATGTTTTCATTTTCTTTTAATATACCTTTTTATCAGTCTCTGTCTCCAGAATAACTGTAGCAATGCTAAGTAAAACTTCAGGGACTGTATACATCGAATAAGGACTGTGATTTGTTATTGATTACACTGAATAAGTATGAGCTGAACAGCAACAGAGAGAGAAAATGATTGTAAAGAGGGGAGAGCTGAGTGTGGCATGAAGGAGCTAGTATATCTGACTGCTTACACAGTCAAGAGGATTTTTGAGAATATCAGCTCCCTGAACTCAAAGATAGATAAATTGAAAAAAAAAAGATAGATAAATTGCTCCAACAACTTTTGAACAATTACTGTCGCCCAAATGAGTGTATCAACTGCAATAATAATGATGATGATGATGATGATGATGATGATGATGATGATGATGATGATGATGGCACCTATAGGAGCAATACGTCTTTGAAGAGCCCCAAGCTAGCTGCTTCATATGGACAGACTTCTAGCTCTTATAAAGGCTCAGCATACCAATTCAAGTTACAGTCCAGCAAAGTATGCCTAGCTATAAGCAGCTATAGGGGACAAAACCCTGTTTGTAAATTCAAATATTAGGTGATACAACATCTAAACTCCCTCTTAAAGATGAAAGCTCCCTTTAGAGACCTGATTCAGGTAGAGCCACTCCAGAGCTCGAACCAAACACAAAGAATCATGCTGTCATTTGGGAGCTCTAGGATTCCTTCTATTCTACCCTGTTGGAAGGATGATCTAATAATTAAAGGAATTCAGCCAATCCGAGTTTTTAAAAATTTAGTGTGTTCCACATTGCTGGGAAATCAAAACAAAGACACTACCTTTTTAAAGGCAAAAGACAGACCTTTGGAAGATGGATTAGCTGGTGTGCCATGTTTAGAGCCAGTGAGGAGGACTAACTTGGTTCATCGATCTAGGAAGGACTCAGGAAATTCCTTTCTTGAAACTTTAGTAGAAGAGAACCTTCTGTCCTCTTTTGTGGACTTACCCAACCTTGAACAGGAAGAGATCACTTCTAGATTAGAGTAAACTTTTATGTGCTAGCAGGAATTGCCAGCATCAAGTAAACATTGACTCTCCAAAGAAAAGAGACTCTAAAGACCATCACTGGCAACAAACTTCCTCTCCATCTTCTACTTTAACCACGATTAGTGGGAGAAGCAAGGAGATAAACTAAAAATTCTCCGGTGGTCCAGGAGTGGGGCAGTCCTTGACTCCTTACTCCTGGGAAAGCACCTCCCCCTTCCGTAGGCAGGGCCGGAAAACTTTGATCCCAGAGGGGAGGGGCTTATCCTCTGATCCCCAGTCATACTGAAAGCCACCTCCGAGCTGCAGGAAATTCAAACTTCTTTTATATTCCAACCAGGTAAAATTCAATAAAGTCTGCAACATAGTCTGCAATAAAGTCTGCAATAAATCCAATACAGTATGCAACACAGCTCTCGTGTTTAAATCAAGACAATATTATAATCTGAAATAATTTATAGAGCATCATGGTCTCCCTGGTACTTATAGGATGGCACCCCCCCCCAAGTATTTTACTCAGCTAGCTTCAACTGGTAAATTGGATTACTTTCTCAGTACTTACTTTGTGTCACCCTCCAGCTATCCCATGTTTTCTCTTCTTCCCCTTCCACCCCACTTTGGAGGACCCAGTTTATGGACTGAAACTTGTCTTAAAGTAATATGCTGTTTGTGGATGAAATAACTTCACTCAGCAATCAACCTTACCTTACCTTTTAGCCTCAGATCCTTACCCTGCCTGGTCCTCACAAATTCTTAATAAGTTAAATCAGATTGGCCTATTCCCAGAAGATCTCTTCTATGGAAGCCTTTACAAGCTGTCAGGCAGAGGCTTCGTGATATTGAATCACAAAATGAAGAAGCTTTACAACCCAAGAACTACAGAAATATAAAATCTTGGCCTAATTTTACTGTTGCCCCTTATTTAGTTAACATTACCTATTAACCCTATAGAAGGGCCTTTTCCAGAGCCTGTTTTGAGGCACTCCCTTCTGCTGTACTGCAAGGTAAATTCACTCGAGTTTCAATGCATGAACGTATATGCCCATGCATGGCTAATATGGTGGAAACAATTACGCATGTCCTCCTGTTCTGCAGATTCTATCAGGAGGAATGAGATCATCTTATACTACCCCTTCTGTCTAGATTTAGCCCTCTGCAGTCTTATCTTGACTTTAGGCCAGAAGTCCTTCGTAAATTCCTCTTAGAAGACGTTCAGAGCTCAGTGACTTATGCTGTGGCAAAATTTTGTTGCTTAGCTACTAGAAAATGTAAACTTATTTTAGCTGAATTGTATGATTCTCCTTTTAACATTATTTTATGTTACTAATTTTATTAACTTTCTCTTGTTTATCTTTTTATACTATTCCCATGTTATTACTGTTTTTAATAACTCAAATTCTATTAAATTTTCCAGGCAGATCTGATGAATTTAATATCTCCCTCCCCTCTTTCATATTGTTCTAACAAAATCACCTCTAAGGTGGCCAAATTTTGCCCCTCAACAAGATCAACAAGGAAGCAGCTGGTCAAGTCTTCTTATTAATTGTCTCTACTATTGAAATCAGCCTGCCTTGCTGCCTGGAAATTTTATTGTTTGCAAATGTGCTGATAACTATGAGTGTCAATCATGACTGATCTATGATAGAAAGAAAGAAAGAAAGAAAGAAAGAAAGAAAGAAAGAAAGAAAGAAAGAAAGAAAGAATCAATCGACCCTCCAAAATTTTAAATATAGGCAACCCAGACAAATTCATTTTGGGAGCTAGACCAGTTTTTAGATGTGTTCTAAAAGCCTGGGTGTACATGTGCATATACACATATGTACACTGCTCATCCTCCTTCACAATGATAGCACAGAGAAAGCTGATCTTATCATGGCGACCTTCTCAAGCTGTAATTCTTCAATTTCAATAATGGCATATTATTTAAAAAAAATGTATGTTTTATGCCTGAATAACTGTAACTGTATACCACCATGAATGATTTGGTTAGGCAGTATTTATGATAAATTTATTTATTTATGTATTTATTTTATTCAATTTTTATCCCATCCTCCCTTCCACAGGCAGGCTCAGGGCAGCTTACAATAAGGGTTAAAAACACATTAAAACACAAACATGACAAGCATAGCTCAACAATAAAATAGAATAAAATGAAAATAAAGTGCTGGTGACAATAATAACCCGGTGGCCATGATAGATGTTCCCAAAAAATGGCCCCTGTCGGCGTTCGGCATAGTTAGTTCGTATTCTCCAGTTCAGTTGATTTTATTGATGTTACTAATATAATTGATGTTATTAGTGGCAGCTCCTAGTCGAAGGCCTGGTGGAAGAGCTCCGTTTTACAGGCCCTGCGGAACACAATAAAATAGATGTGCTGAAGTATTCAGTAAGCAGTTGAGACCATTAGGTTGCAGGCCATGTAATTAGAGTGGTTGCCATTAAAAAGTGCAGCATTGAGTTTCCCTTGTCAAAAGAAAATTGTGACTTTAATGTAGTTGTGCAAAAGCCCATGTTTTGGTACTATAGTTGGTTGTTTCAGATGTTTTTCCTTTATTGAAGAATACACATCTTGATTATAGAGGAGCAGTTTGGGTTGGATTTTCAATTTCTTCATGATCAAACCTCAGTTAAGAGCAAGTTTTAGAAAGAGCAAATGGCACTGTAGTATATCTTTAAAAAGATCCATATGGCTTTTTTCTTTTCTTTTTTGGTAAAAACTAGCTTGCCTCATTATCACTTGTCATTTTGGAACTTCTTGATTAAACTTCTAAGATCACATAGGTTCAATGTTATTACTTCAACTTCTTTTTAAAACCTACACAGTACAGCTCAAAGTCAGTACCAGGCTTTGTAAAGTATGTAGTATTCAAAATGCACTGAAGAAAGCTTTGAGGTATAGCACTTAAAATACAAAGGAGATGAAATGAAGAGACCTGTTTTTTAAATCCAGTGGCCTTTGCCCTGTGTTAGGCAAGATTACAAGCTTAGCTGGTCTTACAAGGCACATGGGCTTTTTAGTTTTTCTTGCATGTTAAGTAATAAAGTTTTACTAGTAACTGATCTAGTTGCCAAGATAATATGATTTCCCCTTCAAAATTTACAAAACTAGCAGTGTTTTTTAAAAAATGTTGATCAGAGGAAATACTGAGGAAACTTTTTTTTTAAAAAAAAATCCTGCTGCTCTTTTTAATATGTTGTCTTACCAGCTTAGTGTTTACCATCATTAACAATTTATTTTAAACTTTATTCTGTACAGAAGCAGTAATGAATCCTTAATCTAAAATAACTGGGGCTGGGTTCCATATAGTTGAATGGTTGCATGACCTGATTATAAAAACAAATTGTAAACTTTGGCCTAGGTGCAGTGGACAAGTGTTTGTTAGTGGTAAGTTCTGGAGATTCTAATGGCCTCCTACTGGCTTTCTAAGAGAGAAAGCCTCAGTTTTGATCGATAAAGTCACCAGTGGTGTTTCTCTTCCTATGCATAAATGTTTAAATTTGCAGTCTGTTTCAAGACAGCGGAGTGGGAAGGGGGAAAAGTAACCAAGTACTGTAAAAAAACCAACAACCTTAAGTTAAACTCCAAAGGCGCCATGTGTTCATGTGTAAGGGGTAAGGAGCTGCAGTGGCTCAAGTGGTTAAGTTGCTGAACTGCAGGCTGGAAGGTCTGTAGTTCAGCAGTTCGAGACCCGAGTGCCACATGACGAAGTGAGCTCCCGTCTCTGGTTCCAGCTCCTGCCAACCTAGCAGTTCGAAAGCAAGAAATTGCGGAGGCGGGGCGATGGAGTAGCAAGGTGGTTGAGTGCCCAAGTGCTCTGGGTCTCGCCAGCTTTTGGAGTCTTTTTAGGGGACCTTTTTGACATTTCTGGACTCCTCCAGATTTGACAAGGGTCTACCAGATCCTCGGGAGTAGGAACTGGAAGCAGAAGACTTAAACTGAGCTCCCTGTCTGTGGCAACAGTGGGCAAAGCTTGCAGTTCGTCTTGAAGCCGAAGCTCCAAAGGACCAGCCGGGGAGTTCACGGCTGGAAAGCTACTTCAAACCCCAAATCAGAGCCTCTGTACCTCACCACAAATCATCCTGGCGAAGACCCTGTGAGTAACCTTTCTTCTATCTATAATCGTCAAGCTCTGAAAAGGATAATTGCCCCTATAAATCTCTCCCAGAGACAAAGGGAGGGGGGAGACTCCCGTGGGTGGCGAGCCAAAGTGCTGGGAATGTTATTGTATCAAACTCAAAGCGGCACAATAACACTTTGAAATCTTCTATCTGCTACCTGGGAATATCGTTACAGAGATTTACTTCACGCTTAAAGAATTTAAAGAATTTATGTTGGAATTATGGAGAGGGAAACAGGCTCTCGTGGAGCTAAAATGGCGGCGGGCTGTAGTTTCTTTGCCTGCGTAGTTACACAGTGAATGTTGTTTTACTGTGTCTGCTGACATGCGAAATGGCTTTCTCGGCAGCATCTGAGGAGAGAGATTGCTTGATGGATGGAAATATACTGATGTTCTCAGATGATTACTGGGATTGCTTAAAAATCCATTTGACAGAAAAAATTACAACTGCTTTCCTGGAAGCCTTGGGAGAGTTTTGGGAGGGCTTCGGAGAGATTACAGAGGCACAAAATCAGATGATGCCAGACACTATATAACAGTGGTGGCGAACCTATGGCACGGGTGCCAGAGGTGGCACTCAGAGCCCTCTCTGTGGGCACGCGTGCCATCGCCCCAACCAGGCCCAGACCATCTCTGCCAAATAATTTGAAGTAAATGAAAGCATTTGGGATTGCTTTCCTTACTTTGTTTGCATCATGTATGAGTTGTTTTTTTCCTAAACTAAAACCTCAGTATTCAGGTTAAATTGCCCTGTTGGCACTTTGCGATAAATAAGTGGGTTTTGGGTCGCAGTTTGGGCACTCGGTCTCTAAAAGGTTCGCCATCACTGCTATACGAGATGGAAAACGACCGGATCTGCTTCAACACTCGATATCTACAAAGAGAGATTTACCCAGCTACTGCTTTGATGGACTGGTTGGAAATAATGTAGCCGATGCAGGGTTCAAGATACAAGGCTGCTTGTTTTCGTACATTGGCAGGCCAGAAGTGGATGGAACATTTAAAAATCAAAGGAACAAAAGAACAACGATTTTGATGAGATCTTCAAAGAAAGCAAGAGAAGAACTTTATAAATAAGTGGAAGTAGCACTCTTTGACAGTCTGCATGGTTTTAATGGGCTGAAGGGATAATGATGTACTAAAACTGGAACTTAAGTTGTTGAGAACTGTTTATCTACTGTGTGTTTCTACACCTGATTTACATTGTTATTTGACACCCAATTGATTTATGAATATAACCTGAAGCAAAGCACCTCAAACTTTTGCATTGTCTTGACTGACTAATGAAAGCTATAAAACATGGACTTTTAATGTGAAACAATTTACTCTCTGTACATGTAATGTCCTAATCGAAAGAGGATGAAAAGATATGGGCAGTCTGATTTTTTAGAGAGGAATTGCAGAGAAAATATAATTAATGGGTTACTTATTTAGAGAATGTGTATGGTGTTAACTATTTTGAGAGAGAAAACCAGATGTTACAGGACAAGGTGAAAGCTATATGGCTTTGTCAGTGTGAGAGCTGGATTGTAGGGAGAATATAACATATTATGTTTAGGCCTGCTAGTTAATGGGATTCTGAAAACTAACAGTGTTAAAAATGGGAAAGAATATTTAAAGGGACTAGATTGTTAATTCAGAAGAAATATATGCCTTCTATAGCATAGTTAAACTGCTAAGTTATGCCTGTTTCTTTTCTGCTGTTTTTATATTGATATAAAATAGAATAATAATACTATAGTATTGATAAAATGAAATATAGTAGATAGAATATTGATGAATTAGTTTTATAAAGGGAATAGATACTTGGTTTAATAATGTATGTTATTGAATACAAATTAAAACAAGGGAAGGAATGGGAATCTGTATGCAAACATGATGGTGTGAATGAGTAACGGCGTTCCGTGCACCTTGGCGTTTAGTCATGCCAGCCACATGACTACAGAAACGTCTTCAGACAGTGCTGGCTCTTCAGCTTGGAAACGAAGATGAGCACCACAACCCTAGAGTCGGATTCGACTGGCTTTCGAGCAAGGGAAACCTTTACCTTTACCTAAAGGGTTTGAGCAAACAATCAGGAATGTCTGTTCAGGGTTGCTGCTACTAGTGAAGAAGCAAGGTGTTTTTTTAAAAAAATGGAATAATTGTTTGCAGTTCACAACAGCAAAATTCTTTTCTTGGGTCATGACCTCTGTGGGCTAGATTTGAAGGGTACTTTTTGCTTGCACAATAGAGGATGCCCACCATTTTTATTGCAGGGCCCCCCCCCCCATCATATCAAAGGCTATATCCAAGGCTACCCTGACTCCCAAGATGGCTTTGGAGTTGTGCAGGACTGGAGCAAACAAAGGTGGTGGGGGGGAATATGTGTTTTGAATCCAGGCCGAATTATTTGCCACTTTTGAAAACTGTTTGTAATCATTACATTGTGACAGGGGACCACTAGTATTGAGACTTTGTTTTTACTCTTAGAGGTTTTAATTAAATAAGCTTGCAAGGATCTGCAGTAGTGTTCAGTTAAATTACCCTCTGAAAGGTGACTGTCAAAAATTAAAATGAAAATGTAGTATGTATTTCAACTGCAGAGGTTGTAAAATATAGTAATGGTGACAAGCTCTACTTGTTTTTCTTTTCCTTGCATAGGTCACTGATATTGGGTTTTCTTTGAACCATCCAAATCAGTATTTTATAGAGAGTCAACAGCTACTCAGTGGCATCAAGGAAAACAAGAAAGAACAAAAGCAACTGGAAAACTCTCAGCCAAAGCACAGCAACCAGAAAAGTCTGAACACAGCTACTGCCACCACCTCCACCTCTTTAAATCCCATTGAAAAAATGGAGCTGGAGGGACTGGATGACTGCTTTACTGAAGATTAAGGAGCATATTTCTCTCATTTGCAACATATCTCTTCTGGCGTTTCCTGTCCTTTGAAGTTGCCCTGTTGTGAGAACGGGGAACAGTGTGGGGGTTTGTTGCATTAAAGGGAAATCTGTTAAATATAATAGAGAAGCGCTTTGTGATTGCACCCAGCCAAGTAACAGTTGCTTCACTTCTGAAGAGTAGGCACCCTTTATGGCATGGGAACTGCAAAGTCACTTGTAAGGTTGGTTTCTGTGGCAGTATGTCACATTTTTAGTTTTGGGCAAACATTAGTTGCTAGCCTTCCTATCCTGCGCTTATTGTGTTTGTGTTTTTAAAAAATAAATCATATCCTGAAATGTAAAGAGAGTACCTGCTAGATCTGTTCATAATAGTTAATGTTGCAAGTACGGGGAAGTTTCTTGCTATGATTCTAATTTTGAAGGTAAATTTTTGAAAGATGGATTTTTTTTGCTTTGATTTAAGTTCTGAAGGTAGTTGTTTGAAACAAGCTATAATATCATAAAACAGGGTGCCAGACTAGGACGTGAGAGATCCAGGTTCAAATCCCCACTCTACCATGGAAGGGTTTTTGACAAGCTCAAGGAACTGTTCACCTCCAAGCCAATTTTACACCTCTCAGATGAGAACAACAACAACAAAATCATAATTCAAGTCGATGCCTCGGATGTTTCCATGGGGGGGGCAATACTGCAAGGGGGGAAGATGGGAACTTACACCCCTTAGCCTATGTTTCCAAGGAATTCAGCGCTACTGAACGGAACTGGGCGGTGTGGGACAAGGAGGCTGCGGCTATTAAGTTGGCCCTAACTATGTGATGGCATTGGCTGGGGGGGGGCATGGGTGCCATTCGAGTTGTGGACTGATCATAAAAACCTAGAAGCCCTGTGCACTACCTGGAACCTAAATGCTAAGCAGCTCAGGTGGGCGGAGTTTTTCTCAAAGTTTCGCTTCACCCTCCAGCACTTCCTCGGAAAGGCCAATTCCCTGGCTGACACCTTTTCACGCCTCCCCCAACATGCCAGCCAGAGGGAGGAGGTGGTGGATTTCATGTTCACACCCTTCCAGCTGGGAGGTGCTGTAATGATGCATAGCCAAGTGAAGGCAGAGACTAATGGTGGTGGGGGGGAAGAGCCATGGATTACAAAATTTAAAGCGGCTTTCATGGATGCAGGCAGGGAGGAAATTTTCAAAAACTCCTCCATTCAATTGGGAACCAACGGGTGCTGGTATCAGAGGGGCAGACTGTTTGTGCCGAAGACCCTCCATGGGGAGGTTCTACACTTTGGGCATGAGTCCAGGCTAGCCAGACATTTCAGGTATTTAAAAACCCTTCATCTGCTTCAAAGGCAGTTCTGGTGGTCCCACATGTGATCTGACATCTCTCAATATGTGGAGTTGTGTCAAACATGCCTGATGAGTAAATGGCGACTGGGCAAGCCACCTGGAACACTTTGGCCTCTAGAGACTCCTAACTGACCCTGGGAAGTGATTTCTATGACTTTATATCAGACCTGTCCCCTAGCAAAGGTAAAACGGTGATCTGGGTGGTAGTAGACTTGTTTTCTAAGCAGGTGCATTTCATCCCCTTCAAGCAGCTACCCATGGCCAAGGCTCTGACCAAGCTGTTTATGCATCACATTGTAAGGTTACATTCTGTGCCAGCAAAAATAATATCCGACAGAGGAATTCAATTTGTTGCCAAGTTCTGGAAGGAACTCCTACAAGTATTAGGCATTGAGAGGGGCCTCAGCAGCGCTCACCTCCTCGAGACTGATGGCCAAACCAAACGGGTCAATCAAGTGGTAGAACAGTTCCTTAAGTCCTATAGATTTCTCAACCATGACCAGAAGGCATTGTAACTTGTCCAAAGGGACCCTAGAGCACTGTTGAACGGTGTCTATCTCAATACCTAAATAAATCAAAACTGGTGTTGGGCCTTCAGTCTTCTCCTCTGCAAGGGGAACTCCCAGTTCTGCCACCATTTCTATGAAACTAGACAGTAAAAATTCACACTGCCACGTCCTCCCACGTCCCACAAACAAAAAATCGTCGAAATAGCCGTAGAGCTCAACCCGGTTCGAAAACGCAAGACCCATTTCAAAAAGGAACTAAACCTCTCGAATGCCGCACAGGACACCAAACAGCCCATGGGAAGGGCCCTATCCATATAGTAATATCCCTCAAAAGCGAAGCCTAATAAATCAAAATTTGCAGGGTGAACTGGCAGAAGCCTGAAAGCCAACTTAATATTGCACTTCGCTAATAGTGCGCCCCGGCCACAAGCCCGCACTACCTTCATGGCCTGGTCAAATGACGTATATTTTACTGAACAGAGCTCCTCCGGTATAGCGTCATTCACAGAATCGCCCCGAGGGTACGATAAATGATGAATGAGGCGGTACTCCCCAGGAGCCTTCTTTGGTACAACGCCCAAAGGAGACACCCGTAAATTAGGTACTGGGGGGGGGGAGAAAAGGCCCCAGCACTCTCCCTTCCTTACATTCCTTCCCGATTTTATTTCGGACTATACTTTCCCTCCCTTTTACTGACTTTAAATTGGAAGCCCAAAAGGGGGTCTGTTCGCCTTGAAAAGGGATCCTAAACCCAAATGAAAATCCTTCAAGTAAATGCTTACTGTCTTGTTTGTTCGGGTGCCCCGTAAAACCCGTGAAGGCTTTATAAACAATATCCAAATATTGCAAAAGTGCAGATGCCCTCCAGGGCTGATGGCGCACAATCACACCCGCAAATATAAGGAAACCCGGGAGCCAGTTGGCCCAGGTCCTGTCGACCCTACGTCTCTTCATGCGCTCTTTTCCCCTGTCATCTAGGTCCTCCTTGTCTTTTTTATCTATTTCCCGAAATAATAGAGTGAACACGTCTACATAGCTACCCTTAAGAATCTTTTCCTTAGTAGCCAAAGAAAGATGATCTCCCAGAGGCAAGGCTATATCAAAGCTTTGGCAGGGACTTGATCATAAGAATATCCACTCGGATTAGGTGGGTACCACCCCCCTTGCCCAGTGTATTGTGAATGTCCACTATCCACCGTGGGTGGCACAAAGTGCCAGGCGACAGGTGATGGAGAAGCCCCTCCCCTTGATGGGGCAACCTTGCCTGAAGAAGATGTCCCCGATGTTTCCTGAGTGCCCGGCCCCCATGGCCATGATGTGTCCTGATTGCTATCGCTAGCCTTACTCTCCTGCCTCGCAGGACGCTTGGGACCCTTGTACAGCTCCAACTGTTGACTCCCATCATTTTCCTGCACGGATCCAGTATCCATGTCAGCTGTCACTGAAGTGGACGATTGACCATCCTCGAGGAGCGCCAAACGCGCTAAGATCTGCGCTTGAAAAGAAGAAATATCAGACTTTTTAGCCGCCTTGGCCTGAGATGGCACGGGAGTCTCCTGCTGTGGCCTAGCTTTCTGTTTCTCAAGGGCTTCCAGCCTGCCCAAAATAGCTGCATTAATCGGGTCACCATCCTCATAATCGGAAATCGGTGGAGCAGGTCTAGTTGGGGGCTTCCTAGGTGCAGGCTGTTTGCCCTTAGCCTTGCCTTGACCTTTTTTAAGGAGCCATCACTCTGGATGTAAGATGTAGCAGGCCCAAGCCCAATAAGGACAAAGCAGAGGGTCTCTCACTGAGCCGCAGCCCCTCTTTACAAAGAGTCTCTCAAATGGCCTCTTTTCTTTAAATTGGGCCCACTTAAAATGACTGCCAGTCTCTCAGCCACACCAAATGGCGTCTGCTGTAACCGCTACCCTCAGGCAAACCGTCTGGCCGTCAGCAGCCAAATGGTGACCAACGATGCGAGGGGGTATTCCTAAAGCTCAGAAAGGGGGGTAGGGGTCAGGCAAACCGTCTGCTTAATGCCACCAGAGGGGGCTTCCCCAAGGAACTGGCCACCAGCAGCCAAATGGTGACCAATGATGTGAGGGGGGGGGAAGGGGTCCTTCGGAAGCTCCAGATCAAGGGCCTACTGGGTGAAAAGGCAAGAAACCCACGGCCCCCTGCCCCTGGGCTTCACTGCGAGCTCCGTACTGCCTTGTGACCCAGACCCGACTGTTTAAAGAGCCCCTGATGTTACAGAGCCCCTGGCCCCCAAGCCCCACTGCCGCAAGTCAATATGCCTCCCGCCGCCAAGCCCCGAGTACTCCCTGGTGTCGAGGTTGCAGCCTCTATTGTTTTAGACTCCCCGGCCCCGCGAAGCCTCCTCCGACCGTAGCCGCCGATAACTCCAATCACTGGCGCTTGAAAGTTAGCCCGAGCGATCGCCTTGTAGCTGCTGCCATCGCTGCGAAACTCGCCCAAGCGATTGCCCAGTTGCTGTTGCTGCTGCCTCCGTCGCCTCGAAACCGCCAAACTCGCTGTCCAGGGCCCGGGAGGCAATGGCAGCACCTCGTCCCCACGTTCTGCTCACAGCGAGCATGAGGCAGCAACTGCCTTGGGCGGGAGCGGAGCCGAGCCTATACTAGGCTGGCTCCTCCCTGCCCACGTCTCAGCGCGATGCGATGCGACGTCGTTGACGCCCCACCTTCCTCCGCGGCGGCAAACCAGCCCCCGGTATCAATTGCCTTTGGCGGGCGACCAGGAGCTCCCTTCACACAGCTTCAGCCTACAGGGATTCTTGGACAGAGAGGGAGAACTATTCTAAGCTGCCCCAGCTGGATCAGTCCTCCTTTAACACTGTTGGATCAGTCCTCCTTTAACACTGTTGGTAGTGGGAACGTGAACACTAAAATGTAGGTATTCACAAAAAGTATGCCTCCAGTTCTTCATGGCAATATATGTATAAGGGGTGCTGTTTGCCTCTTCCAGGGACATCATAGAGGTAATTGTATTTTTCCCCTGCAGGGCAAGTAAGTATGACAGTGTGGTAAACTTTAGGTGGAACATGGCCTGCATAATTGATAACTCCACTGGGAAATGTATCTGCAACACACATTCCATTTGACCCAAGATTAGAAATGTTGCTATTCTCAAACACATTTTACTAAAAGTGACTCCTAAATGAGGTAAATTAGTATGGAAGAGAAGAACTCTCAACTGATTATGCTCAACTAAGTCCTAACAATAAGAAATCCAGAACCAGTTTTGAGTTGTGTATGTTTCTTCCGATAAGCAGAAACAAAATTCAAAGTATAATTTAAAATTGAAAGACATAGTTGTGCTTTCTCGGTTGGGAGGAGAGATGAATGTTTTCTGTAATGGCTGTAATTCCATAGGCATCATCATCATCATCATCTAAAATTGTGTG